TGAAGCCTATTTTTAGTGGGAAATACCTAGCTTTCCTTTGGGCTACATTATTTTGTTTCCCAGGTATGTATCTAGGCTCATTGCATTTTAGGCATGTAATGACAGATTCTAGAGGACCTCTATAGAGTACACAATGATTTGGGCAGACATCTATAGTAGTGCAACCGAACCCAAGATCTCCCATGTACCGCTTAACTTCATAGAATGAAGAAGGAAGCGTCTCGCCAACAGGTAATGCTTTCTTGACAAGGTCCAGATTCAGGTTGAAGGATTTGTCAGTATTGTTGGTTACCAGTTTATTGTTCAGCAGCTTCATAACGAATGATAATCTAGAAAAGTCTTTGCATCCAGGGTATAATGGCAAATTGGCATCACGGATTAGCCGAGCCAATTTGTCATTGAGGTATGTTAGATTAGAATAATTTGGTGTTGTTGACCCCTCAATGACAGGAGCATTTCCAGAAGTAGCACGCAGCATATCCCCTAACATATCAGCCATGTCATCCTCTAAACTGTCACTCTCAGACACAACTGTAGGTTGCCTAGGTTGATGACTAGTACTCTCAAAGTCAAACGACTCACCATGATGGATCCATGTAGTATATGTCTCCACCATCCATTCCTGGTTATATCATCTGCGACAATCTCCATCTTCTTGAAGTTTCGATTATTGCACCTTTTACAAGGGCATCTAGTTCTACCTAGCGTATCAACATGTTTGCTGGCAGCCCCTATGAACTCAGAAACCCCCTTTTGATATTCATCACAGAACCTATCGTTAAGCTTAATCCAATTTCTACTCATTCAATCTGTGCGTAAAGAAACTGACCTTCCCTTTATAGGCAGTTGGTCAAGATGGAAGCACAGCGTGAGATGAACTAGAAAAGGATCTGCAGAGGGTATATGACAAAACATTAGGAACCATGTTGACTTACACGATTTCAAGTGAAACACAAAATTCAAGACATTAATCGAATCTTACCTTTGCTTAGTGCTTGGGGCGCATTCTCTCTATTGTAATTAGCACAAAAGGATGGTTGAAGGATCGAAGATATAATCAGCCCCTGCCACCGAGTCAATGACGAGGAAACACAAGAGCTCATTTAGATAGATAAACCAACAGAATATTCTTAAGATAAAGCAGTACACAGTAGCTAGAGGAGGGAGGGACGACGCTTACCTGTTTCTGCCAGACCAGCGAGTTTGCTACAGCGCTGTTGCTACGCAAATTTAGATTGCGGAGATTGGGGATCTTTGAACTGTTGTGGTGATGGGGCGATTGGTGGAACGACGACGACGACGGAACACCCGCCGGTGAGTGGCCGGGACGATTGGTGGAGGACGGGTAAAGGATCACGGTGGTTGGAAAATTGGTGGTGATTTTTATGTGGGGTTCCTTTGGATTTTGATCGACTGCGCAATTTTTTTTATAAGATCGGTTGCGCAATTTGAAGAGACAAGAAAGGAGTATAATTGTTTTCCCGAGGGAAAGAGGTTTCAGCCTAAAAAGAACCAAATATGACGAAATGCCATTGTCACAACACGAAACCACTATATTACAACCAACATTACATTTTGTCAGATCGGCGAGGGATTATGGTTGTCTATTGTGACAAACCAAATTGTCGTTTAAACAATTCAGGAAGACATAATATGACAAATGATACTTTGTCGATGACATTTTGTCACTTTATGTCTCTTAGATACCGATGTGGGTTACCTATTTTGACAAACCATATGGTGACACACAAATTTGGTCACATTAAAGACTTTAACTGACAAAGTATTATGACAAAACGACATTTTGTCACATTAGGAGTACCGGGTTAATTGCATGGTTGGTCACTGAGATTACAAAAAAAGTTCACGTTTGGTCACTGGAAATATTTAAATCCAATCTTGGTCACTCAAATTATTTAAATGGTTCAAGTTTGGTCACTCTCCGTCCATTTCCGTTAACTCTAACTTACGTGGCAGTCAACTTTCATAGTTGATCGTTAAATATGTGACGTGGCAATTAAAAAATTATTAAAAATTAAAAAATAATCTTTTATATTTTCCACCTCATTATTACATTAATTAAAAAATAAAAATAAATATTTTTTGTCCACTTATAGTAAGAAGAAGAAAAAATTCGTTTCATCCCTTACGCCCGCCGTTTCGCCCATTTCAAAATCCCAATGTCGATCCAGCACTCGCCGATTCCGGCGACATTCATTCTCCTCCTACTCGTACTGGGCCCTGCCGCCGTCGCCGCCTTCCAGCCACTAATCCAAATCCTTGGCGACTGCAGGGCGCACTACCACAACCGCTGTCGCGACGACCAGCTCTACTGCAACAGCTGGAGGCTGTCAGTGGAAGCCAACAACTTCGTCGCGTGGACCGAACCGCCGAAGATGTGCGCCGACTACGTCATGAAGTACTTCGAGGGGGAGCAGTACAGCTCGGACCAGGAGGTTTCGTCGGTTTTGGCCTCCTCTCCTGCGATCCTCTCTGGATACCTCCTCCTTCCGTCGATTTCCACGGTAATTTCACATTTTCCCTTCTCACTTCCGAAACCCTTTTTTCTGTTTCATCCTCTGTTTTCTCTTAACGGAATGCCTTTTTCTATTCTCAGGGGAAAGACATATGGTGGATTTCGACAATGTTGGGTGCAGAGACGCCATGGACGGATGATGTCTCTTCCACTCTCTGGTGAAAGAAGAGCTCTGCGACGAGGATTTCAAACTGGGTTCCAGCCCTAGAGGGGAGAAACGGCGGCTGACCATGAGTCAAGTTCAGTTCCTGGAAAGGAGCTTCGAGATGGAGAACAAGCTGGAACTGGAGAGAAAAGTCCAGCTTGCCTAGGAGCTCGGCTTGCAGCCTCGCCAGGTCGCCATTGGTTCCAGAATCGTCGGGCTCGGTTCAAGAACAAGCAGCTGGAGAGAGATTCGACTCCCTTCGCGCCAATTTCGACCGCCTCAAAGCCGATTACAGCTCCCTGCTCCATGAGAACGAAACCCTAAAAAAAAGGTAAAAAAGAGAACAAAAAACCCCTGCTTTCCTAATCTCCTAAGAACGAAACCCTTTTTTTCTGTTTCAGCCAAAATATTTTTTTGTTTTTTAATTAATGTAATAATGAGGTGGAAAATGTAAAAGATCATTTTTTATTTTTAATTGCCACGTCACATATTTAACGGTCAACTATGAAAGTTGACTGCCACGTAAACTAGAGTTAACGGAATGGACGGAGAGTGACCAAACTTGAACCATTTAAATAATTTGAGTGACCAAGATTGGATTTAAATATTTCTAGTGACCAAACGTGAACGTTTTTTGTAATCTCAGTGACCAACCATGCAATTAACCCTTAGGAGTACCAAATGTGACATATAAGTTTTTTGCCATATTATAATACCTATTATGACAAACAAAAAATGACAAAAAAAATTGTCCTAATAGGCCGAATTTGTTGTAGTGACTCTAGCTCGGATGTATAAGGCCATGTATCATCCCCATTGCGATTTCCTTTCTGCAACGGTCGGGACTCGTCCGTCTTGGGCGTGGCAAGGGGTGCTGGAAGGTCGTAAGCTTCTTCAAAAGGGACTTCGATGGCAAGTCGGGTGTGGTACTGCCATTCACATTATGGAGGACATATGGCTTCCCTCTTACCCCCCCCCCCCTTTCCTCTCCTTCTCTTCTTCCCGGAGCTCAGATTGGCAACCCTTTTGTGGCATCTCTGGTCCATCCGATTTCTAGGAATTGGAATAAAGACTTGATTCGCTCTTTGTTCACGTCTGATAGTGTTAAGCTTATCTTGTCTATTCCTTTACCTGCTTCCCCCCGGCCTGACAATTTGATTGGCATTACTCCGATTCAGGTCAATACACAGTTAAGACGGGATACCACTTGCTCTCAGACGCGAGATCAGAGATGTTCAACACCCTACCCTCTCATCTTGATGCCCGATTCTGGAAAACTTTGTGGAGTCTACCTGTTCCCCAAAATTAAAATTCTTTTTGTGGCGGGTCGTCCGGGAGTTCCTGCCCTGTTTGGATGTGTTAAAAAACAAGTCCCTATCTTATTCCAACTCTTGCCCTATTTGTTCTGCAGGAACCGAAACTATTGTACACTGCTTGTTTGATTGCAGGGTGGCCAGAGAGGTTTGGGGGCTCGCTGGGCAAGGCCAAGTTCGACTGATTTTAGCAGGTTTGTCCCCTGATGTCGGCTGGGCTCATGTATTTAGTTCGTTGCAGCTGTCCAAAGTCGCAATTGCGGAGCTGGTGTTTCTCACTTGGCGAGTATGGAAGGCCCGCTGTTGGTCTTGCTATGGCCGAGTTCAATTCCTTCCAGGCCCTCTTGTTCACCAGTTCCTCCAACAACGTGATGAATGGACAGCAGCAACGAGTTCTAGTTCGCATGGAGAGCACTCTCGAGTCCACAGCCGACCTGCTCCGCCTTCCACATCCTGTCCGGTGGGGGGGGGGGGGGGGTTGTGATCCACTTTGATGGTGCTACGCGACAAGGAGAGGGAAGCAGCATTGGATTCGTGGGGTTCTCCAATGAGGAGTCGATCATCTACGCCTGCGGCAAATACTATGAAGGTATATTCTATCCCTTTTTAATGGAACTCCTAGCACTTCGTGATGCAATGGATTGGTGTTTAATCCGAGGCATTGTCTCTGTTTGTTTTTGTGGTGATTCGCAATTGGTGATCCGACGAGCAACGGAGAATGTCATAGAGCGTGATCGTGGTGGAGCAATCCTGGAGGAGGTTCAGATGCTGAAGTCTTCGTTCTCGTTTATTCGTTTTGTTTTTTCCCCTCGTAGGACTAACAGGGCTGCCCATTGCGTGGCTAAAACGGCTCTTGCTTGCATCGGCTAATCAGCACTTGGCTGATTTCCGTTATTTATTTTTTAATTCTCTGTAATTCCCTATCTATTAAATCCTACCTAAGTAAAAAAAAAAACCGATAAGTGCTTTTTAACGATATGAAACGCGACACAAAAATCAAATGGGTGATCGGATTAGAAACAGAATGCGTTTCTCCAACTTGTTTTATTTCAATTGAGAAATTCTACAAAGAACCCAGAATGCTGGCTTAACATCTGGCATTCGAAATCAGCGAACAAGCTTGAGACCTTTGGAAATCAAGAAGTAAAAGAACAGAAGGAGATAGCCAGTGAGATATCTAAAGAAACCCAGCCATGAAGAACAAAACAGAAACGGTCACAGTAACATAATTTAAGTTCAGGCACACGACCAAACTAGCCAACCGAAACGTTTCAGAAACTGCAACAAACTAAAAGATTCTTCGTCTTAGAAACTAGAAAAAAACCCTCCAACAACACAACTCAGTTTGATAATATATAACTTAATATGATCAAAAAGCTTCAATAGCTTCACTTCTCGACCAGCTTCTCGATCATATCAGCGGCCTCCTGGACTGTGGTAATGCTCTGTGCACTCTCTTCCTCCACGGTGATGTCAAACTCCTCCTCGAGTCCCATCACAATCTCGACCTGCATTGCCGAGAAAAACACGATTCATCATCAGAATTCGGTGAAAGCATGAGCAATCTGAGCAATGACAGAAAGATCGTCATAGCAAGGAGCTGTGATAAAAAGCCTGGTCCTTTCTTAATGGCCATAATCCAGAATCAATTGCACCCCATGCTGCTTGTCCACTCACCACATCCGGCTTACACATTCCCCAAAATTGGGTAATAAATTCAGAAGACTAAAGGATACTAGGACAGACATAGCCTATTGCCATGAACCGATCACCCCAAGAAAACGAACCATGAATCCAATACATGAAGCAGATAAGCCAACCAACACAGTATAAAAAGAACTAACAACATTGTACGTAGGGATGGCAATGGGTCGGGTTTTGCCAAACCCAAACCCAAACCCATGGGTTTATCTTTGAAAAAAACCCGGGGTAAAACCCATTGGGTTTGAAAAACTCAAACCCAACCCAACCCGTTGGGTATCCGCGGGTTCATGGGTACCCACGGGTTTTGTCGTAAAAAAATTACAATTACAAGTTCTTATCAAAATTAAAGTCAAATATCAATCTCTCAATACAAATTATCCATATATAAAACACCATTCTAGAAAATTCAAGCAAATCACAAATAAACTATACAAATTGTTCAACACCAATTTAGAAAACTCAAGAAAATTGAAGCAAATCACAAATTATTCATAAATAACATGTTTAATTGAAAGCTTCTTCCTTTCAATTAAGTTTCTTTACTCTCCACTCCATAACATCAACTTCATTCTACACAATTAAAAAGAAAAAATTAGACATGTCTCCACAAACATAAATAAGATTAGTTGTTTAGAATATTAAATATACCGAAAAAATTAATTATATGAGTGGGCGGGTACCCACGGGCCGGGTTTACCTAAACCCAAACCCAACCCAACCCGATGAATAGTGAACGGGTTTAAACCCAAACCCGGCCCAAAACCCGTCAACACGGATTTTACCCGCGTTGACCGGGTTGGGTCGGGTGGGTACCCGTGGGTTCGGGTTTTGTTGCCATCCCTAATTGTAGGAGATTAAGGCTATGGATAGAACTTACAGTATCAAGGGAATCCGCACCAAGAGCAGCAAACTTAGACTCTCCAGTGACAGCTGCATCTGCTGGCAGAGCAAGCTGCTTCTTCACTATTGCAACCACTTTGTCTACGGTCTCTTGCTTGGCCTGCAACAATTTCATTCGATTAATCAAATGCTGAACCGAAGATATAACCAAACTTCCCAATTCCTAACACAGCTTCTCAACTCCATCATCCACCAAGACTTAAGCAGAATCCCAGAACCAGAAAGAAACAAATCAACATTAACAACAGACCATCCAACTAACCCACCAACTGATTTTCAACAAGCTACATTAGATCTCAATTCCCTACATTTCTATGTTACAAAAATAAGAATCTTACCGCGCAGCAGACTTGAAGCCCGCGTTGCAATCTAAGAGAAGGAATCATGGATCTCCCACTGACGGGAAAGGAGACGGAATTCATCACCGAGATCCTCTGCACAAAACAAAACACCATCACAAACAAGAAAATTAATCCCAAAACGACACCGATATCGGTCGAATCTACAAAGAAATCCTGCCGGATTCAGAGAAATCCCTGAAACCCTTGAAGGGTTTTAGGGTAAAGCTCAGATCTGGGGAAGAAAGGGAAGAAAACGAATTACCCGCTGGCTCTGGTTAACAGAGGTGGAGAGGGACGGCATGGAGACGGAAGCTCTTGTGATGGAGGCCATTGTTGGTTAAGTTTCTCCTTCTCCTGTTTGCAGAGGAAGACGAGAAAGGCAGAAGAGAGAGGCGAAGAAGGAGAAGGATGTGGATGGAAGGGGAAGTGAAGGAATGGAGAATGTTTATAAAGGACCCTTGTACAGTTGGGTGCTTTCTTGTGGTTATCGCCAATGGCTGGAGCCTCGTTTTATTGCTTCTACTTCTGTTGTTTGTTGGACTGGTTGTTGTCCAGTGGTGGACTTTGTTTATATCGAAATCTAGGTGCTGTTTGGCTCCTGGCTTAACTCCGTCCCGTGCAAAGGTAGTAAGGTTTTACGCGAAAAGGGTAAATTACAAGTTTGATTACTAGAATTACTAAAAAATGTCGTGTTTGTCTCTAAAATTAGTTTATTTTGTTCATGATCATTTAAATTAGTATCGTAGTCCAAGTTTGATCACTGGTCATTAGTTTTCGTCAGACTCCATTAACACCGTCAGTTAAATCCTGACATGCCTAACAGAGACGCTAAGGTGGCTGATTTGAACAAAAAAAATAATAAAATAAACCCGACAAGTCATTAAATGTTGCCACATCATTAAACTGTGACCCAAGTTGTGAACCAACCGCTCTCTATCTCTTCCCCTCTACTCTCTCCCCTATCTATCTTCGTTTCGTCTTCTTCATAGAGAAGCTAATGACTCTGCCGACGTCAGATCACCGGTGGAGGCGAAAGAATAGAGTCGCGAGAGATCTCTCCCAACATCATCCTCACCAAGACACACCAGCTCGTCGACGATCTAACCATTGACGATGGATAGAGCTTCATCGCCTGGAATCCACCGTTGACACGCCAAAACACAACACCAAACTGCGACCAAGTGCAATCGCAGTCCGGGAATGCAGTAACAGGCAAGTTATATTATCAACCCGGGGTCTAGATCTACTGCTTACTCCGTGATTCTCTATTATCTAGCAAACTAAGTCGAGTGTTTGTTGTTTAAAAGCAAAAGCAGTAAGAAAGCAGGAAATGGTTCGGTTTTCAAAAGCAGTTAAGAGTCACTCGGGATTGAGTCCCCCTAGCCCCTTAGTTAGGTTCAATTGCAATTCCCTGGGTTGATTTACTGTTGATTAGACTGCGGAAGATCCGACAGTAGCTTGGAATCTCTTAAGCTGACCAAGCCCTCTCAGTCTAACTACCCGGCAGACGACTAGTCTTCACCGGGATAGAAAGCTGAGGCTATAAACACAGAACTCCACTACTGGCGTTAAGAACACCAGTACAAAGCAGTAAACTGGCTAACTCTCGTATAGCCAATCTCCTACTATCGAATGAAGAAGCTCTAACAACCTAATCAGATTCTATCTATCTCAGGTTGAAGCAGAAATTGAAACAAGCTGATCAGACTCAAATCAATTCATGAAACATGCGTCATTCGATTAAAATCAAACAATAATATCATCCCAAGTCATTACAATCAAAACCCTAACATCAGGAACTAGGGTTCTTCATACCCAAGTGAGAGAGAGGTTCTACTCCATAGAGAGAGAAGAGAAAACAGAAATCAGAGTAGTCATACTCATGAAGATGAGGAAAATCTGCTCTGGGATGTCAATCTTCACTCCTAGGGACGCAATCCGGGCTTCAATGATGAGAAATCCACTCCAAGATAGCTCCTAGGGTTTGTTCTTCGCTCTTTCTCTCTCTAAAACTCTGTTTTTTGCCCAGAAAATCCAATTCCCTCTCTTTGGCTCGAATCTGCCTTCAAAAACCCGACTCTGGGCGAATTACGGGCAGAATTACGGCCGTAATCCTTCCTGCCCGTAATTCACACCAAAACGCGCGTTTCACTTAAGCTGGCAGAGGAGAAGTTACGGCCGTAATTTACAATTACCGCCAGTAATTAGCAAATTACGGCCGTAATTACTGGGTGTCTTGCCCGTAATTTCTACGCCGAGAAGAATTGCTGGGGAGAAGCTCGTCCAATTAATTACGGGCATGCCCTGCATAATTACGGCCGTAATTAAGCAGGGGCTGCCCGTAATTCACTCTGTGACTCGCCAATTGACCTCCAAATGACCCGAAACTTGCGCCTTTGCTCCTCTTTACTTGCTAGGACCTGAAATACGACAAAACAACACAACCTAGCGTAAAATAGGCCAAGGAACAATCAATTCGAGCCAAAATGGACAGGAAACCAGAGTGAAAACACGTGCAAATACGATGCTATCAAATTCCCCCACACTTAACTGTTTGCTTGTCCCCAAGCAAACCAAGTACTACACAAGGTAAGCTCACATAATTCAGTCAACCAACATCGGGGACAAGTCATAGAGGCACAGAACACGTGAATCAAACTGGTTTTCAAACATCCACACATGAACAACTTTATTAGCAACCTGGACAACCACCACAAAGGACATTCGAGTGCAGCAAATCGAGTAAAGGAAGAGTCTCCCTCTGTTCACTGGCCAACCTAGACTTGATTCAACCACTTACTCAAAACAGTCAACTCATGCATCCAACTCAAGACATCAGAATAGAGACCGAGCAATCTAGGTCCTCACCGGGGTACAAGAGCATATAGAAAATGGAAATGAATCACTCACTCTCGACCAGTGGGGTCAGGACAATTTGATGCGAAAGATGCGCATGCTATTTCTCTCAATCCCTATCATCTCTTCACCATGATGGCAGCCTCTAAATGCTAGAGTTCACATACATGTCACCACTAACTAATCAGAGGTCTTAGACACAGGTTCAAATGACTGGCTAGGGTCTTGGACATGGGAGAAAGGCCTTTTAGGTGGTGGAAGTATTCATAGCAAAAGGTTCCACATTTCCCAACACACAAACACAGTCAAACAAACCGGTATTTTCTTTCTGCTATCCTGCATTCTCAATATCTCAAGAGCACAAGAGCGAAGGAGGCATAAACATCAGCATTTCCAAGCCAGACTGCTAAGAAACACTACTTACTGGGCATTATTCAGATTTTTTAGTGGCTCTCTTTTGCTTTCAATTTTCTTTGTTTTTTTTTTTATTTTTCTTTTCATTTCTTAAGAGAGCCACCACTTCTGCATAAATTTCAAACACCTGCCCACTTTTAAGCACTACCTCCAACACTCACATAGACTTTAGCAGAAACAGCAGAGAATAAGTAAAAACCACTCTGTGGAACCTTCTAAAAGATGCAACAAGGGTGATTTTTTCATTAGACCAAAAGAAAGGATAACACACGGCTCAAAGGGGCTGACTAGGGGATATGACACATCAGGACAGTCAGTTTTGGGCGTGGGCTAATCCTATGCCCCCATCATCTTAGCTAGTGACAACGTGAATGCTACACATCATGGAAGAGGGATCTATCGCACAAGAAAGAAACGAGCAGGCTCAAATCTCACATGGCTACCTATATGCTCTATCTCACATTCTGATACCCTGAACTAGATGCATAAACGACTGTCAAGAACAAGTAATCAGATCAAGTCAGATCAAGTCACAGTTGGCAAGCAAACAGTTGAAAAACTGAACCCCTACATCGTTCTACTGCACATCTCAGTCCTCATCATAGGTTGTCCTAGTCGCAACAAGTTGTCATGCATTAATCCGAAAACCAATCAATTCATCATCAAAACACAGTGCCAATATGAACAAACAGCAGTACTTGGAGCCCTCAAATCGTAAGATTCGGACAGCGGACTAGGCTCCAAGCACCCATATATACGTTCCAATAAATACAAAGAACCCCCCCACACTTAAATGCGACAGTGTCCTCAATGGAGCGAAGGGAAGGGGAACGATGTTACCGTGAAACAGTGGTCAGGAACGTTGACTGGATGGCGGACCAGTCAAAAGCAGAGGACTGGACAAGGACCAGTCCGATGGGCACAGAGCTAGAACCAACAGAACACACACAATGGGTGAAATACCATAGTTCCAAGTCAACAATCCACACAACGTGAACAAGAAATAAAAACAAAACACAATCCGGAGTCTAAACTGAAAAGATGGACAAAAGCCAAGCCCCACTCGACGGCTGGTAAAATCAGATCACAGCTCGTCGCCTCCATCGCCAGTGGGAGGCGGGTAGTAGTCTTCATGCCCCGGGGACGCCTCCCAAGGATAGCTCACAGCAGCAGGATCCATGTTCCAGTAGCTCATCATGTAATGCTGAGCTGAAATGATGCGGCGGCGACCATCGCGCTCACGGTCGAGGCGGCGTTGATGTGCTCCTGGCCAGCAAGGATCTGCTCGTTCTGGCGGACAAGGGCTGCCATCTGCTCTGCAAGATAGATAGTGGGCTGCGCAGCAGATGGGCCGGCACCGGAAGTGGAGTCGCCCGGTGCAGAGGGAGTGGACCGAGACCTCGTCCGACGGGTGGTCCGACGGGCTGCAGCATCACTGGTCTCTGGTGGCTCCTCACCCTCTGGTGCACGAGGAACAGGGCGAGGCAGGCCCCGGATCCAGCTCACGTTCCCGTCGTGCTCCAGTATCAGCTGGCGCCGGAGGATGTCCCTGGAGAATGGCGTCGCCTCCTGGATGAGAGTAAACCTGGAGAGATCGACGTTGTAGTACGCGCCAGGGCAGTGACCACCGGACCCACGCCAGAGGGCGATTACACCGCTTATGCTTGGCAACGGTCCGGGCAATGAGAGAGGACAGATGGAGGTTGTCCTCCTCGTGGCTCATGAGTGCAGGCAATGCAGGGTGCGGAGCTGAAGATGACTGGTGGAGCCCTCGCTGGGGGTGTAAGATTTCCCCAGCAGCTGGTTGATGATACGCCACTCTGGTCGCAGCTGAGTGGCCGTGGTGTGGCCCGGGGTGAAAACAGATCCAGCATACCCCGGGAGGCAGATCCGCTCGAAGAACTGCTGGTCCCGAAGATGGGACAGTCGGGCTCTCGATGGCCAGGTGACAGGGGAATGGTGGAAGTAGCCCCAGTGCCCGACCAAAGTCGTCATAGCTCAGAGAGTAGAACTCCCCTCCGAGTCGGAACTGGATGGCATTGCCGTGCGCTCCATGATGGGTCCGGAAATGCTCGAAGGTGGAGTAGAACTCCCAGAGGAGCTCCTTGTAAATCGGCTCAGCAAGGCAGAGGAGGCGGCGCCAAGAGAATGCGCGAATGGCAGCCTCCATTGCCTCGCGAGCACCCAGCTCCTCGAAAACCCTCCAGTCGAGGTAGTGGTGCTGAACGAC